GTTCTCTCCGATGACACGTCGCACCCACTTTGGTTCCAGACCAACTGCGAATCCGCGGGGGGGAAGTCGTCATTTGCAGTGCCCACGCGCCCCAGTGGGAAGCCATTCGCCAGCCGGCAGGTTTTCTTCTTCGAGAGGGCCAGCTTCCTCGACAGCCACTCCATTCACGGACAAATGTTGCTGCTTGGCGATTTCAATGCCACATTATACAATCGCTCTCCCGGAATAGGGGACGCGCTGGGGCCGTTCATGTTCAGGAACCGCACGCGCAGCACAACCCAGAATCCAACAGAACACTCCTGCCCGAACTTTGCACCTCTCGCATGCTCGCTGTTGACAGCACTATTTTCGACGAATCTCCAGAGCATCATATTACGTATTGCGATTTTGGGCGTTCGCCAGCGGATCCCCCGGCGCACCACAACAACGAGGAGCTAGACCTGGTAATCGTGTCGATGGAGTGGCTAGGGTGCTTGAAAGTGTAAGGAGCGTCGAACGGAAGGCGCTCGCGTCGTATCATTGCCTCATGATTGCGTCCCTGGGCGTGGATATCCCTCGCAAAGAAAGCGGCCCCCACGAGCCCAGGCGACTGCTTGGCGCATGTCGAAGCGAAAAAAATGGCCAGCACATGTTCTGACGCCTGTACTTATATGAGCACGGAGGCGCAAACGTCCAGCAGCTCGCGTCGAGCATGACAAATGCCTTCCCATGTGCTGACGTTTTCCCGACCAGCGCGAAGAGACCGCGGCGACCGTGGAAATCTTACAGGAAACTCCAGCTCATAGACCAGGGAGACGTAACGAGGGCGCACGGGACGACACAGGAGGAGCGACGCCTGCACTGCACTGCGCGACACTCCGTCCGGGCAAAACGTTCGAAATGGCTAGAAAGCCGGCGTGCTTCCAGAGATTGGGCGCCGCTCCGCGCGCTGGGGGAGGGGCGCTGGCGCGGCAGAGCCGATTAGCCGATGTGGAAGGTCGTCTGGTGGACTCCGACCAACGCGCCGACACAATGGCAGAATACCCTTGCGGAGACCAGTAGGCGGCGCGGCCGACAAGCGCAGCGCCCCACGGGGAACCCGTCGGCGACGAGCTGGCTGTGACATGTGGCCCTATTGACGACACCGAAGTCGCCACGGCAGCTGCTCGGATGAAGCGAGGCTGAGCGCGTGGGAAAGACGGCACCCGCCTGAGTTCTGGAAGACAATCTGCCGCGCTGGGACGCCTGCGTGCAGATGGGCCGTCGATCTGCGCAACATGTGCTGGACCGACGCCGAAGATCCAGCATAGTGGCACGAGGAACTACTTGCAACAATCTTCACGGCCGTTGGCTACAGGATTGGCAGGCTAAATGCGGGCGGGGCCGAGAGCCGCATTTGACGCACCCAATCTGGCTTGAAGTCCAAGCACGGCACCGTGGACGCCATCTTCCTGGCCCAGCGGATTATTGAGCGAGCTTGAGCCGAGAAGGGCGGGCAGATCGTCTTGCTGGCGCTCAATTGGGCGAAGGCCTTCGACAGCGTCTCCCCAGACTCTCTGGCACCAGCACTTCTCAGGCTTGGCGTGCGGGTGAAGTTCGTGGAAATGGTGCGGGCGATCTAACGGGAGCGCACATTCTACGTTCGGGACGCGGGCTCGACTTCGGCGCCGATGGCACCACAGCCTGGCATAAGCCAAGGGTGCCTGCCGTCGCCCTTCCTATTCGCAATCGTGAGGACAACTGTATCTCAAGACGCGAACGAGGAGGCCGGTCCAGAGCCAGACCTCTCCCAGGCAGTACAGACATTGGTTCACGCCGACCACACGCTGCTGGTGTCTGGCGAGTCCGGTCCAGCGACGGCATAGAAGCGCAGCATCGAGAAGGCAAGATCACAGTACGGTACGCAGTTCAAGTGGCGCGAGCTGGAAGTTCTGGTCGTTGGATAGTGCGCAAATTCCTAGGCCTGATGGGTCTTGGGTGCTGGGGAAAGATGGCATTGAATATCCAGGCAGCTTGATGTCTAGCGATGAAGAAATGGCCCTGAACTCTCACGCCAACTTGGTATCGCGCGGGCGGACTTCGACAAGTTGAAGCCAATGTGGGGCCAGTCCACGCTGACGCAGTCAAGGAAGCTTGAGATCATCACCGCGTGCGTTATCGACAAACTGTTGTACCGTCTGTATACGACATTCTCGAGCCAGGCGGAATCGAAGAAGATCGACGCTTTCCACGTGAGATGCTTGAGGCAAGTGCTCCGCATTTCGCATTCGTACACTCGCCACGTGGAGAATTCGTATGCTCTGCAGCAAGCAGGCGCCACGCCGCTGAGTAATGCCTTTCTGAATGGTCAGATGCTGCTCCTAGAGCGTATCGCACAGAAGCCAGCTGACGACCTGGCCAGGAGCACTGTCCTGCGCTCTTTTCCACGCGAACTATCAGCGCAGAGCTTCAAGCAAGCGGAAACGGGGGGGCCCCAGGCAAAATTGGACCGAATCAGCTTTTGCCCGCGCTGTCCAGGCCACGAGAGTGGGGAGGCCCTGCCGGGGCTCTGGCAAGACAGCGTACGTTCTGCCGCAGCCTGGCGCGCAGCGCTGAAGAGGTATTGCGACGCCCTGTGAGGCCACGGCCTTTGGGCTCATGTGCAGGAGAGGAGCCCCCCTCCCCGCTGAAGCTCCTGCCACAGACCAGGGGGCGAAGAGGTAACGTCGCTCTCTAATGGGCTTACCGCCATCGTGCTACCATCGTGAACGCCGAATCAGGAGCGAAAAGGCCTTTCTGGCCCCAGCGAGCCTCGAACACAAATTCGGCTCCACGATCCACATCTAATGAACGGACCGACCCTTCTGAGCCCAAAGTGGTCTATACTTCAGCGTCTTCATTCTGCTTTGACGGCAAGACCAGACAAGGGCGGGTGAAGGAGCACGAAGTGGGCGGCGTTAAGAGCGGCGGGCATTGGTAAAACCAGCGGGTCCTCCTCCTCCTCCTCCTCCTCCTTTTGACATTGCACACGGTTCCAAAAGAGTGCGTCGTCGTCCTCCACCTGAGGTCTGCTAACCGCCTCGTAGTCTACACGACCCTTGCTGTATTTTCTCACGCGTGACGGGAGAGTGTCCTCGTGATGCGAGAAGCACAACACTCCGTACCCCAACCTCTGCCTTCATATAATCTTGACACGGACGGGCCCTTCGGCCTCGGATCTCATGCCGCGTCGGTCCCTCCGTAAAAACTTAAGCACATCTCAAGCAGGATATACATCGCATACAAATCCGTATGGAAAACAGGGTTGGGAATCTGATCCAGCACAGGCGAAATCTAACCCACACGGACGGAAATCAGATCCACAGCAACTCCAGTCATAATCGAAATCAGATCCGCGCACCCAGAGTAAGATCCGCCACAAATCCAGTCATACACGGCGTGGTCCTACTTCAATTCGCTAATCCCTGGCCCAGGGAAGAAATGAAACCACCTGCGTCCTGGGGATATCTTTCTCTAGACGTCGGCGAGAACGAAGCCGAACGTCCTCCAAGTTCTCCTCCTCCTCCTGCTCCTGCTCCTCCTCCTGCTCCTCCTCCCCTCTCCCTCCGTCGCCCCCCCCTGCTACCCGCTTGGCTTCAACCGCCCTGTGCGGGGGGGGGGGGGTCAGGCCTTAGCATGTCTGGGAAACTTGGGCCACTCCACGCCGGGAACGTGGGGGAGGCTCACGGGTGCGTTCACCCTTCAGGGGGGGGAGGGGGGGGGGCGAGGGGCCGTGACTTGCCCGTCCCCTGCCACGCGCAGGCACGCCGCCGAGGGTCCTGGGAGCTTGGACACGCGAGACTGCCGGGTGCCCGCCCGTCAGGAGCGAGGCCATCTGCTGCTGCTTGTGCCTCCCCCCTCCTCGGGCTCGTTTCATGGGCCGTACGGCGGGTTGCTTCCGTGACGACTTCTGCGTTGGCTTCTGACACCGCGTGGATCGTTCAACCTTGAACGATCGGCTGCTGTTCGATCGCCAGATCTCTCCATACTGGCCGATTCTGGGCCACTGGCGGAGTTCGACCTTGAACGCCCGCGCCGGGGTCGTCGCGGCGTCGACACGACACGAACCTGCCGCGTCCCTGCCAGGACAAGTTCGGCCCTTCAGGGAAGCCGGACCCGTGCGGGGGTCCTCGCGAGCTCGCGCAGAGGAGGGCAGCATTTGGCGTTTCTGCTGACAGGGACATGTCTCGGAGGTAGGTGGTGTCCTGTGACCGCGTGGGGGGTCCCTGCAGGTTCCCGTCGGATTCCTCTGGATTGCCTCTCCTCCTTCCCCTCCTCTCGGGCACACGCTAACATGGATCACAGATCCCTGGGCCGAAGAACTACGACCTCAACATAAAGCCTATGCCGCCTGATCTGGCGACGAATCGCGACGACTCTGTACGAAAACGGGACCCGCCTCTAATCCACGCGCCTTAATCAAATCTTGCGCTTCCTCGATCCTCCCCCTCCTCCTCCTCCTCCTCCTCCCCCTTTTACCCCTCCAGCACAGTCCTTGTCCTTGGACATGGTTGTCACCCTGTACGTGGTCTTCCCTTCCCCGCCTGCTTGGCCCGGTGGCGCCACTGCGCCTGGCCGATGGAGCAGACAGGAGGAGCGGCGGCAGCAGAGGCCGCGGCGGCAGCAAAAAGCGAGGGGCAGGGCAGCAAAAAGCGGCAAGCGGCAAGCGGGTAGCGGCAGGCCGCGGAGGCAGCAGCGGCGGCAAGCGGCGAGCAAAGGGAGAAGGCGGCGATCAGCGGACACACGGCCCTGAATGCAGGCGAGTGCCCAATGAGCCACGGGTTCGAGCGGCAGCGCGTGGCCTGACTATAATGAGGATACGTATCCGAGGCCCGGTGAGAGAATCACACCCTGGACAAACAAAGTCCGGGATCCCTGTAGGATAATAAACAATTTCTCAGGTAACTCGCCCCTACGGGTGTACAAGTGTACGGTGTACGGATGTACCGTGTACATAATAGTGTGTAATAGTAGTAGTAGTAGTAGTAGTAGTAGTAGTAGTA